ATGAAATGCGTTTTGGCTTTAGCAAAGGAGGATGGAGAGAGGAGGGATGCGATGGGAGAAAATGGCCAGAGGTTGCTTATGCCTCTGCTGCACGGTATACTGAAACCCAGGCCACAGCTCACGTCTTTTTGTTGTTTGCCCTCTCTAGCTGTCAATACCCACAACACAGGGGCATATGATAGAGGAGGAAGGAAGGTCAATAACCTGAAAAACCATCCAGGGACAAAGACACCTGGGCGGTGTCTGTTTGCTTTAACAAAGAGTCACCTAGCCGGGCGGTGGTGGCGCACGCCTTTAATCCCAGCACTTGGGAGGCAGAGGCAGGCGGATCTCTGTGAGTTCGAGGCCAGCCTGGGCTACCAAGTGAGTTCCAGGAAAGGCGCAAAGCTACACAGAGAAACCCTGTCTCGAAAAACCAAAAAAAAATAAAAAATAAAAAATAAAAAATAAAAAAATAAACAAAGAGTCACCAAAGGACAGGATTAAGTTAAGAACTCCACTGATAACGAACCCAAGTCCTCAAGGACTAGAGGGTCCATTTTTTTTCAGTGGCCCAGAGTGGGAAATAAAGTAGTTAGGAGGACAGAGATGTTATGGTTCAAGCTAACTGGTGCTGTCAAATGATGTTTAAGTTTAATCTCTAGAATTTGAGGGCACAGTAGTGAGAACTAAATGAAAAGACAGTCGTTATCTCTTGTCTCTATTTGATTTGAGGTTTGAGATTCGAGTCATGATTCACGTCCACTGCACAGGTTAAGTAAGGGAAGAGATATATTGATAGTGGTTGTAAATTGATAATCAAGACCACATTTGGCAATAGGATGGAAAGTCACCTGTCAAATACTCTGAGCCGCATCCACTTACCTGCGTTTAGAGGCATGCTTCCCAGCTCCCATCCCTACTGCTGTGGTCACATCCACCAGTCCTCTTCAGGAATGTGCCTTTCCTCTAACGTGTCAGTTTGCCTCCATCCTCTCCAACTTCCCACCAAGTTTATGCCTCCCTCTGGGTATTAGGGATGATTACAGCGACTTAATTTTTGTGCTGAATTTTCTTATTAACCAAGTAAAATGGACCTTCTGTAATATACGTGGCATTGACCCTCAACCAATCTATGGCCACATTTTGATAGATGTGTAAAATGTATTTTTGCTGTAAGAGAATATATTTTATTATGTATCGTGTGGAGGATTGATCTGATGAGCTATGTATCCCAGTGAGAAACAGGGGTTATCTTTCCATGCCTGTGAGATGCTTTTGGCTCCTAAGATATTTACACTGATGCAAACAGTCACATTGGTGGTAACTGCTTTATGCAGATGAAACCTGCTTACCAAATATAGTGAGTGTTCATGCTTTTACAGAGTGAACCACAGTGATAATTCAGTAGAGCCTGGATGAATGACGGCTGCCTGATTGGTGAGCTGCCAGATAGTACAGTTTTTAAAAAGATTCAGCGATGTCAAAGAGGTCACAGCTACAGACACAACGGGTAAAATTAGAGGAAGTAAGAAAGAGAAGGCGCTTGCAGGAAAGGTCCTAAGACATTTGCTAACCTGCTACGGCTGGGGCTGGTGCCACCCATAGCATCTGTAAACATTGGCATGCAAAATCATCCTTTCTAGGTGGTGTGTGTTTCCTTTTTAATGTGAGCCCCAGCTCATGAAAACTGTTTCCTGATGGAAAAAAAAAAAAAGATCCCTTTATGGGAGTGGCTGCTGAGCCTATCAACACTTTATTCTGTGAGAGACTAGAAGAGTGACGGACACGAGTCAAGAGCTAACACTGCCATCTGAGGCTTACTTGAAATGCTGATGTTCCCCTTCACTTTTGGTTTAGGATTTTTGGAAGCAAGTGGGTAGGGCAGGCAAGAGAAGCGGGGCTTGTCCTATGTTGGTGTCGCCCTAAAGTAAACTGGTACCCGCCGTTTTAAGAGGGTGCCATTTTAAGACGAGAAGTTGTTTCAATGGTGGAACTTTTGCCCTGTGTCCCACTGTGGGGCCATTGTGGTTTCAAAGACAGAACAAGCTTCAGAACCAAGGAAGATTTGGGTTCTGATTTTAACCCCACTACCTATTTATTGTGAAAAACTGAGATAAGAGGATAATATCCTCTCTGAATGTTCTTCCTGATTGGTAATGCAAACACAATACAATGACTCGATATAGTTGTTTTGAGTATTTCATAGTGTACGTATTTCATATATGTAGAACATACACAGATAGATCCCCCAGTACAACGAATGCTTATTATATCAGTGACTGGGGAAGAGAACTGAAACCCCATTGAGAATGAGAATTGTCCCTCTAGGGAATACGAAGCAGGCCTATGGACTTGATGTTAGCAATTTAATCTCTTAGGAAATGTAATATGAAGAGCATTAGCTCTGAGGTCAGACTGCTTTGGTTTCAATTTCCCTCTACTTTTTACTAGCTGTGAACACTGGGCACATCACTTGATTCCTTAATCTCAGTTTCTTTGAACAGATACAACGAAAATGAATATTCTGTGGTGTTGTGATGGATAGTAAACTGAAATAATGAATGCAACCTAGTAGTACTCAATATTAGTCATGCTTGTGCGTTCCTTCACAGTAAGAAGGCCATGACCACTTTGTACCCAAAAAGGGGACCTTGGTATAAAATTGGAATATCTAATCCTATTTTTCTTTCATACCTAAGCACATTATGTAATGCCTTTCATGGATTTCAGTTAGTCATTGTTTTATTTATAGATTGCCTATTTTTTGACATAAGCGTTAGTAAACAAATGTGCAAATTAAAGAGCTGAAACAAAGCTGGCCTATAATCCTAGGAGGTAGATACAGGAGGTTCTGGGGTCCAAGGCCACTCTTGACAACATAACAAGTTCAAGTACGGCCTCTGCTACGTAACACCACGTCTCAAAACACAGAGAAGCAAACAAGGATCTGAAACAGAAGTGTAAATTGACTATGATAGATTATCATCTTCAGCAACTGATAGAAGAATATTAGCTGCTAGAACAATCACATGTTTAAAATAGGCACCTGAGTAATTCACTTACCTCACCTGAAAGTCCAGCATCACCTGAGGGGATTGCTGATCAACCCAGTGGAGAATGGGCTTTCAGCTCCATAGTGTGCTTTATTAAAATTTTAGTGACGCTAACAGAGAAAAATGGAAAAGATAAACTAAACCCGAGGTGCCAAAGGAACGTGACAATGTGGCTTTTAATTGTAGAATAACAGAATTATAGAATAAAAGAATAACAGAATGAGTCCAGGGAGCGACAGTTTTTAATTTTCCTTTTCAATTTGAGCACTTTCAAATGCTAGTCAAGCTAGCATGAGCGACACTTAGGGAAAGAGAAAAACTCCCCCCTTGAATGTCTTTAAAATCTATAATAATAATATAATAGTATAAAGTGCATCTGGGCATCGCCTTCTGCTGCAGTTCTTGTCTGGCTCCCGTCCAGAACTGTCAGGCTGCTCTTGAGTCCCAATGATTCATAGCCCAGCACCTTTTATCTGAACATCGCAATGTCTTTTCTTTGTACTTCGGCGGTGATGTTACCTTGATGTTCGGAAATCTCTTTAAAGCAACAGTCTTTCCTTACATCTTGACAAATCATTGTCTGCCAGTAATGAAGAAAAGGTAAACTCATGATCATTATCAACACAAAGAAATAAATACTTGATGGTGTGGTTCTGTTGCTAAGAAATGCCTTCCTATTGGAGGATCCTAACTGGAATGTAAATGTTCTGATAACTTCCCCTCGTTTTTGAATTATCGCTTATAAACCTCAAGATGCTCTTTTTAAGTTTCCTTCTCTGAGACTTGAGGAGCCATGGGAGACAACCAGGGTGGATTCTCATTGTTATCCTATGCAGTGTGAAAGGAAACTGAGGCTCTGGGTGATGGATGACTTCCACTCATCAGATACAGTCTTTAAGCCCAGTCTACTACTCACTCAGTGAGTAGTTCTCTCACTTTCTTTTTGAACAGGGTTGGGTCTCAGAAAGGAATCTTTGTCAGAGCATATTTAGCATAGAGAATAAGAGCAGTCTATTTCTCCCAGGCTAAACATGAGACTCACGGTGCTGAAGGTCTCATTTACGCTTGGGTCTTACATTTTAAGAACTCGTTGGGAAACTGGAGGGCATGAGGAGGATCTTAGAATAAGAAGGAGCCTGGGAACTGTCCCAGAGAAAACCAAAGGAATGAGGATTTGCGTGTACGGAGGAAGGAGGATACAGACGCAACTGACATCTCTAAGTGTTTTATGGACTACCTTGTGGAAGAGGGATTAGATCCGCCCTTTGTAACTCCAGGCAGCAGAAGTAGGATCAGTGGGTAGAAATTACACAGAAGCAGATTTATGCTCAATATAGGAAGAAAGTTTCTAACATTTAGAGATGTCCAAAAATGGAATTGACCAGCTCATCATCCCTGGGAAGTGTTCATGTGAGACTGAGGCTGACTGTCCGGGTTGAAGATTACGGGACTTTATGAGTGTTGTATTTCAGCAGTAACGCAGTTTTATGGTGAACCTTTCTGAGGGCTTAGGGAAGAATTTCCTCACTAGCTAAAAACAAAGGCGTTTTTATAAGCTTTCCTGCCATGATTTTAGACTGAGAAAGATTTACCCATATGATTCTTGCTTCCCCATCACTCTGTCCTGTGAAATACTTTTCAGCTGATTGGGAAAGATATTAATTAAAACAGAGAAGCCATAGTTTTATAGAACTGAACTGAAGCAGACATGTGGTACTTGCAGATCTGGTGTGTGTGTGTGTGTGTGTGTGTGTGTGTGTGTGTGTGTGTGTGTGTGTGTGTATACGCGCAGTTGGCTTTGTAACATTTCACATTAGGCTATAAATCATAACAGTGTTTAACAAGAACTTTTCATACTAAATGTTTTAGCCCCAGGATTATTGAAGGACTCTGCTGTTGATTCCAAGCAGAGACACTTTCCCTGTCTGAATGATCACTTCCTTTTTTTTTTTTTGTTCCCAACAGATTCCAGAGGGGTGACTACCACATTGACGTCTGTATCAATGACTACCTGGATGTTTTCTGCCCTCACTATGAGGACTCTGTCCCGGAAGATAAGACTGAACGCTATGTCCTCTACATGGTGAACTTTGATGGCTACAGTGCCTGCGACCATACTTCCAAAGGGTTCAAGAGATGGGAATGTAACCGGCCTCACTCTCCGAATGGACCACTGAAGTTCTCTGAAAAATTCCAGCTCTTCACTCCCTTTTCTCTAGGATTTGAATTCAGGCCAGGCCGAGAGTATTTCTACATCTGTGAGTACATAGAGATTTATTATGTTGTGGGGCAGCTGTGAAACTCAGGCTCATTTTTTTTTTAACCTATGTTTTGGAGAAATGCAGAGCTGGACTCTGCATTACAGATGTCTCCTTGTAAACGCATATATCACGATCCCTAGATACATTAGCTGGGAATTGAGAGCCCAAATTAGATTAAAGACACACCGCTTCTTCCCCTATGAAATTGCGTGTCAGCCTGTTCAATGAACCACTGCTGACTTGTATTTCTTTTAAATGAAAATTGCCAGGACTTTTTTTTTTTTTTTAAAGCTTGGAGAAAGAAGAAAAAAAAAAGATTCCTGAAAAAAAAATTAAAGGAAATAATTAAATTTACATAACTTGGAGTCATTGCATTTCTTATTCAGGTGTCAGCAATAGCCTTTGAATCATCCACATTTTTAGTGGAGAAAGCCACAACTCCTGCAAATGTCAGTATGCTGACGATGAAATACTTGCTTTGCACTGAGGAGAAGAGACAATTATTAGGAGCAGCTGTGTCTTTAGACAGGCAAGCGTGAAGACGTATCTAGGAAGTGTTCCAAGGGAACTGGCTTCTCACCTGTGAACATCGCATGACTATCCTACAGAGGACTCTGAATGTTCTCAGTCGACCAGCGTTAATCAGAGTGCCACAGTCTGCTCTACTCTCCATCACAGGCAGCAGTACCTTTTCCGGTGTCATACCGTTAATCGATTACCCTAAATGCATCTCAGACTTCGCTGTGCATGGTACACCTGGGGGCCTGGTTGTCATACTTAAAATCTGAGGTGGAACCTGAGGTCCTGCATGCATGAAGTCCCCAGGAAATGTTCATGTTGCTGGCCTGTGGGCCACACGTTGAATAACAGAGTTCTAGGTGATACCAACTGTAGGTCTCTTGGTGCATAGCTGGACATTTTTTTAGTAGCGAGTATTTAGAGTCTAGTCTCTAGACTCTAGCTTTTCTCACATTCACTGTTGGCTGAAGGTTATGAAAGCTTGTTTGTTAGTTCCTGGTACATTTATTGAGGAGCTCATGGTGGCTCTGAAATGTTGGGAGGTGCAAGATGAAGCTATTCCTTACTTTTAGCTTGTCAAGAGGCAATTTAGGTAAGGACAGCTGTGGAGTAAAGATATGTGCAAGTGCCAGTTGGGACTCAGAAGGAGTTGAGGCTTACCTTTGTCAGGAATGAAGAAGCTTGGTTGCACCTGCTGTGGAGAAATCCACCTGACACCACTGAATGCTTGGCATCCTTTCCCCACATCCACTTGCCAGACAAACAAGACAGAGAACATTCCTTTTTTTTCTGACTCAGTTCTTCCATCCAAATGTCTCCACCCACATGGTTTAGATTCACGGAGGTTCCCAGCTCCTCTCCATCTCCAAAAAACAGAATTTTATAGTCAGCCAGATTTCACCCTTGCCATGGCTCTCTCGCTTATATTGGAATTGAATTTTAAAAAAGGAAATTGAACAGTACCAGTTTTATTATTTCAGCGCATAGTTCTGTTGTTAGTCATGAGAAAAACGTGTAAAAGACCTTGATTCTATCTCATATCCAGTACATAGGATTAAAAACGGAAGATTGAGTCTCACAGAGTCGGGAAGCACTGGCATCCAGTGACCCCTCACGTTCTCAGGCAGTGCACTCACAGCTTTGCTGAGTTCTTCTCTCCCTGAAAGAATCCTATTCAGCAAAGGAGGGGACAGAAAGGAGGAGGTATTCCGTGGTGGGGTGGCATTAATTTCATTAATTCCCCAACTGTAAGTTGCTGTATTCGAAAGGGGAAATTATTATCAGAACTGATATCTTCTTATTGACTTCTCAGATTTGAAAACCAACAAAAGCATAAACCAGAAATAAAGAGATAACATCAAGATGGGAAGCACACTCACCGGCTAACTAGTTGATTGCATGATTATTAGAAATTATAGAATCCATTGAGGTTCATAAGCAACATGTTATTCACATACACTGTAGTGCTTATGACTAGGTTTTTCCTCATTTGTGGTTAAATTCAATATTTCACTAAAAATCATTATGTGTCTTCTATAACATTCATTTAACGGAGTCATTTAACTGTCAAGGGCTCCCGTCAAAGTAATTGTTCCAAAATGCTTCAAAATATCAAGAGCTTTTTTGCTGTTCAGCTGAGTTTAACTTAAATTACTTTTTTTAATGAAAGGTAAAATAGCACAAAATTAAGCAGCAAAGTGATGTTCATTTACAAGAGGCACAGTGGCCTGGTGTTCAATTAAATGGAATTTTCGACCATGTTTTCAACCCACAAGAGCGTCCCTCCCTGTCTGCTCCACAGTGAAAGGCTCCCCTGTCTTTCTCTGCAGAGAGTCGTGGCAGAGCTAATGTGGACGGCTTAGCACGTTTAATGTGCTCTGCTCATAATTAAAGCACAGGACTCTTAGGGGAGGATTGGCCCTTGGTTGAATTTCCTCTCTCCTAAGATGTGTGGAATGAACAAAGAGATTGGGAAATGGCTTTTTTTTTCACACTTGTTACACCCATCTCCGAAACAAGCTTAACTGCCCAACAGTAGAAGTCAGAGAATGGTCTTGGTGAGGACAAAGGGACCCAAGTCTCTTAACATCTCTTCACACTTCTCCAAAACCAGGAGGAGGAAGAAGCCCATAGCCTACCGTCTGTTCACTGTAGGCTTAAGCTCAGCTGTGAGGTAGGGTACCAGAAAGATAGAAACCGATTTGGCGGAAAGGCAAGGCAGGTGTTCCATAGCAGGGGTACCTAGACTCAGACAAGACCCAAACCAGAGGATTCTTAGCAATATCCCCCTCGTCATCTGAGGGGTTATCTCCTTATTAGTTCCTTTGCATTACATAAATTAAGAAAATATAATGATTGACTGTATCTCCTGCAGAGTGTCTGATTTACCTTCAAGATGAAGTGTCCTTCAATATGAAGTGTCCTTCAATGTTCCAGATGCTTTATTCATCCCAAATGAGGGCATGTCATTCCCTTCCCTCGGGAGCAGGCTGCAGGTCAGAGTTGTGACTCACTGGGGCCACTCCTGAGTCAGACCAGCAGTTTTTAATCCCTTGATAAGAGATTGGTATCCTAAAGTGGCTACAAAAAGATCAGTGGTGTTTCTATCAGTAGTAACAGGTTCTCAGAACTTCCGGTCAGTTGATTAAGGTAATAGTCATTTATATAGACTTTATATCAGGCATGTTCAACCTGTTGCCCATAGCCCAAATACAACCTGTGACAGCGATGGCTGTGAATGTGGCCCTACACATTAGTAGATCACAGTTTGGTGTCCCCATGTCAGTACTTTTTAATAAGGAATAGCAATTTTTGAAATTGCTATTAAAAATATTTTAAAAAATACTTTGAAAATGTTTCTCACAAATCTTAACCTATAGAGAACGTGTTTAGAAGGACTTTTTCTGCTCTCATATCTACACCAGAAGCGATCAGAGAAATCACTAAAATAAGGACATGACGTTATTTTTATAGGTCCATAGAAATACTGATTTGAAGGCAGCCTTTTGTTGAGGGGAGGAAATAAACACCGTGATTGCCTGGCCCACCAGTTGCTGTAATGAGCTACTTGAACTTGGGCAAATCACCTAATGTGTCTGGAGTTCAAAGTCTACATCTGTAAATTAATGTGGCTGAAATAAATGATTTCAGAAATTACTTGAAGCTTTAATAATCCTCCTGTTATTAGTTTTTATCTGAGGTCTGCAGCTTCGATAAACATCTGTGCGGTGGGCCCAACCAGGTGCCGCGTGGGGATCAGTCCGTCGAGACCAGGGGAAATCTGGGAGAACACACAGAGTGGAGAGTCGTGTTAAATCTTGTCCCCACCGTCTGTGTTCTCTGCTAGGGCGACAGGCTCCTCTGTGACTCCCCAGCTCCCGGCGCTGCTGCGCCAGCCCCATCTCTTCTTGTCTGAATGAGGCCGGCAAGGTGTCCCATGGCTGCATTCTCCCTCTCCCAACCATCTTCCTCTCTGATCCCCCCTTCCTCCCTGTTACAGCCCCCCGCCGTCCTCCATCCTATTCCTGTAGCTAGCACACCCCAGTGTTGGGGCTTTGGCATTTTAATGTCTCCCCACCTCATTCATGCCCCTCACTCTCACGCTTTTTTAGAGGTGTGTTGATAAATGTCTTTATCACAAAGGCTGGATAGAAATATAAAAACAACACTTTTTTTTTAATCGTTCTCTTACACTCTTACTGTCTTGTGCCATTATTTTTCCTCAGGCACTTACCACTCCTGACATTAAATATTTATGATGTATTGTTCGTAGCTGTTTCTGCCCTGTGGCATGGATTATACTTTTTGTCATGGAAAACATGTTCAATAACTAGGAATAAACAGTGTTTCCAGAGCACATACGTGGTTCTAAGTACTGTTCTGAGCGCTTGGTCATTCAAATAGTACTAGGAGATGTGAGATAGTGTTCTTTTTTGTCTCTCTCTCTCTCTCTCTCTCTCTCTCTCTCTCTCTCTCTCTCTCTCTTTTGTGAATGGAGAAACTGAGGCAAAGATTGAGTAACTTGAAAAAAGGTTCTGGGGCATAAGCTACGAGAAGAAATGAAAAGATGAAAAGCGAAGTTCTCATGTACTTCAGAAGGAAGAGCATACGTTTTTATTGTTAAAAGGTTTGAAGTGGGCTCTGGAGATGACTCCGTGAAGTACTTGACAGACAAGTGTAAGGACTTGTGTTTGGATCTTCAGCATCCACTGGGCAGGTGTGGTGGCTTGCTTGTCATCTGAGCATGTAGAGAGCAGAGACGTTCAGTCATCTTCAGCTCTCCGAAGGATGCCTTTCCCTCTCCAGAAGACATCCTTAGCTCTGTCACTCTAGGCAACTTCCAAAGCCAGAAAAGTTGCCTAAATTCTAAACAAAAACCCTAAATTTGCTACGTGCACAGTGAAGTATCCAAATTGGATTGTGATTATTTCTGTGCCCCTGAATTAGTGAATCTTTTTTGTTTTGTTGTTGTTTTGTTT